AACAGAGACTCATTTATTCTGGAAAAATCTCAGTAACATTATTTCATGGATTCTTGGCACATTCCCACGGGATAAAAAACGAGTTTCTTATTCTTAGTATCATGGATGAGCCTGTGATTCGTTTGCTGATGAGATCCAATAGTGGAGTCCGTACTATGAGGAACCATCGCCAAACAAAAGTACTCACGAAGCCTGGTTATCGATCGACCAACAACGTGAAACACTGCCTCAGCCTTCATAACGAAATCCGCTCCTCTTAAATGAAAAGTAACTTCAGGTAGATTATTATACTTTTCGGGCTTGCTCCTCTCGTAGCACAAATCCAGGTCCAAATTCCCTTTAATTTTCTTCAAATTTCTAAACCTCGAAAAGTACTTTTCGAGCTCCGTTTTCAGTATGTCGAAAGCGGGTCCCACGATTCTTGAAAATGGCGTGCCGGAGTCGATAGTGCAGCCACCCAAATTACCGTTGCTTTTGAAATCAAACACTGTTTGCTCGTGTGAAATCACACGAGCAGAACCTCTCTGTTCGTGTGAAATCACACGAGCACCACAATTTTTTTTTTTTTTTTTTTTTTTTTTTTTTTTTAGTTTTATCCTTTAGTTTTATAATTTGCTAATTACATTAATATAAAAACAGGAAGTATACATAGATGTGGATGAAGATATTGAAACATTCGAGCTACATGATTTCAGTGAATTTTTCACAATTTCGACTGCATTTGATAGTAAAGATGCACTAGTCGAGTGGGCGATGAATATGGCCATCAGTCATGGACATGAGATTAGGCGACAGTCTTACCACGAAGGCCGACAGTATTTAACTTGCAAAAGAGCCTATAAGAGTCGAGGAAAAAATGCAGAGGTCGAAACAAGCCGGAAGTCCGGTTCAATAAAGTGTAAATGCCCTTTTGCGCTATGGGGTAAAGAGGGTCGTGATGGATTATGGCGCCTTACCATCAAAAATGGCAAGCACAATCATAATCCTCATAAATATCCACAAGGACTACGTTCGCTAAGTCGCCTGACTGAAGAGCAACGAGAAGTGACAAAGATACTGAAAAAGAGTCATGTGAAGCCGAAGGAAATTTTGCATCATCTGAGGCAGATGAATCCGGATACGGCTGCGTCCTTGAGAGAAGTGTACAATGAATCACAGAAAATTAGACGAGAGGAAATGAAAGGAAAAACAGTTATACAACATCTGTGGCACGAACTAAGTGAGAGTGGATACAGCAAATGGCATCGAACAAATCCAGCTGGTGATACAGTGCAAGACGTTATGTTTGCGCACCCTGATTCAATAAAGCTTTTGCAGTTATTTCCATACGTCATCCTGATGGATTGCACGTACAAGACTAACAGGTAATAATTATTTCAATGTGTATTACATTTATTATATATATAAGAGTTGACTAAATTATAATTACCTTCATGTAGATATGAAATGCCTCTTTTGGAGATCATTGGGGTTACTCCCGTGGGAAGGAACTTCACTATTGCCGTTGCTTTTATGTCACGTGAAGATGGGGACACTTATGCATGGACATTGCGATGTTTGCGAGACATATTACCAATCGGGATAGAACCAGAAGTGATACTGACAGATCGTGAGCTGGGCCTACTGAAAGCATTGCCAAACGTGTTTCCACATTCGCATCACATGTTATGTTTATATCACATAAACAGAAACGTTGAGGCAAACGCGTCAAAATTCTTGGGTAACACCAAGTTGGGTGTACTGTTCCGGAGGACGGTGTGGGCAAAGTTAGTCGAATCTGAGACTGAGGAAGAATACGAATGCAACTATAGAGAGATAGTTAGTTTGTACGGGCAATATCCGAAGCTGCTAACTTACATCAATGAAACGTGGTTGATTTATAAGGAGAGATTTGTTAAGTGTTGGACCAACAACATCGTTCATTTCGGTAACACGACGACTAACAGGTATATAAATTGATTTTACTATAAACTCGTTACGTACAATCTTTTATACACATGTTACATTTATTCATTATTTGAGTGTTTTCTCGAAACAGAGTAGAGAGTGCACATCGTGCATCGAAGCGTTGGATCCAAACATCGACTGGAGCTATGGATACAGTTCAAAATGCACTAGATGCGCAAGTTCACCTTCAAATTAATGAATTGAAGGTGGAAAATGAAAGCAGTAGAACAGTCAGGCTGTACAGTACTTCACTGTCGTGTTTCGGTGCTTTGGTATGTAACGTATCACACAAAGCACTGGACCTGTTGGATAAAGAGTACGAAAAATTGGAAAATAATCCGGATAGTTGCAACTGTTACCTAAGCCGAACCCACGGACTCCCGTGTGCGTGTATGATTGCAGTTAAAATTGCTGAGGGAGATACTTTTTATCCGCAACAGTTACATCCATTCTGGAGAACGTTGGTTGTCGAGCCAAAGTCGAATCCATGGGAGGACGAGGAGGAACCGTTTGATCGCACAGTTGCAATTAAGAAAGTTCTTCTCGATGAGTTCGAGAAGTTATCAAACAAAGATTACATGTCCCAAAAAAATGCGGCCGACTATTTACGGGACCTAAATAATCCTTCTTCAACGCATTTACAAGAGCCGTCATTTGTGAAGGCCAAGGGACGACCTAAGAATACCTCTGTTCGTGTGAAAACACACGAGCACCATTATAATATTTTTTTTTTTTTTTTTTTTCACTTTTTTTTTTTTTTATTTCGTTAATAACACAAATTAAAATATAATTTCGTTCGATACAACATAATTATAATCCGTACAAATAACTAAATAAGTAAGTCCGATAACAACGTAATTAAAATACGGGCAAATAAGAAAAATCCGCAAATCCAAAATGAAACATCCGTACAAAAAACTAAATCCGAAAACAACAAATCACAACACACGAATACCAATACATAAAAAATCCGAAACTAATACATAAATAGGTAACATGTCCTACTGTCCACCCCTCGACCCCCGACCCCGAGTCCTCGGACCTCCCCCGCGACCCCTCCTAGGTAAGAGGCGCAAATAGTGGGCATGTGGCGTCAACAAGTCCCTCAACTGCGGCTGAATGCTCAGGAATGCCTCAGCTGCGTCGTCACCAGTCAAACCGAACACGATCGGAACTAGGAGCCGAGCTATGTCGTTGGCGAACGGCTGGTCTGGCGGCACCGCAGCAACAACCCGTTCTGCAGGCGGAACTCTATCAGGGTTGCTAATGAACCGGTGCGTCCGCTCGATGTACCACTTCATGTACTCCTCGGCAACTGTTTCCGGCGGCCAGGCTTCAGGGTATTGCGACAGGTCAATGAAGTTGGCGTACTCGTTCTGCCACATGCCGCCAGGACCGTGGAAAGTGACTTTGTATCCCGCGCCAAACAAGCCGCGGTTATGTGGCAAGTTCGATTCAATTATCGGGAAAGGAATAGTCTGGACTCTTCCAAACTGCCGCAACCCTCGGTCGGGCATGTACGGCTCCACTATATCCATGAACTGTATCGTGCCGTAATACATGCTCCGAGGATGTAAGTAATGTGCACCGGTACCATACGGGGTCCAACAAACCTATGCATATTTTAAACTAATTAGAAAAATCCGTAACTCTACTATAGACATAATTAGAAAAATTATTACTCACATCTCTTTCGGTCATGGCGTCGAGTATTTTTCGGTATTCCTGCAACGTGGTTTTATTGCCTCCACCATGGGCCCACCTTCTGCATCGAGGCTCAAACTCGGCATATGAACGGGAAAGAGGTGGTCGAAAGCAGGGGAAATACTCAAAGATCCAGCACTGCAAACAAACACCAATGAATAAATAAATAAAATAGAAGTTTAAATAAATAAATAATTACTAATAAAGGTACACGTACCAGAAGGAGAATAACACATCCACAGAGACTGTTCATCCCAGCGCGGGTGGCAATACCCAATTGGCGGTACATGTTTGCTAAGCATGCCGAAGCCCACGAATACTTGCCGACATTATCGAGATCGTTGGTAAAATGGATCCACCACGGCTTTATGTTAGACGCTGTTTTGTCTACAAACAAAACAGACCCAAGCAGAAACATCAAGTAGCCCTTCATCTTCTTGTCGTCTGTGGCGCAGGGAAGGGTCAACTGATCTCTCACCTTAACCCAACCAACTTCCTTATTTCGAAACATCTCATTGGTGTCCATAAGACCGACACCCAATACAGATGCAAGACTCTGTGAGCACTCTTCTACCGGGCGAATTTCAGACACTGCTGGTCCGTCCAGCCGCAACGTCAGGATGAAAGCGACATCGTGGAGCGTGATCGTCATCTCGCCCCATGGCATGTGGAAACTGTTCGTCTCCGGTTGCCACCTCTCCACGAAAGCTAGCATGAGGTTCTTGTTCATCTTCTTCAGAAAACAGTCTCGTAAGTGGTAAAGACCTGTTGCCTCCAACCTCGCAATCATCGTGTTATCCTGCGGGCCGCGGTAGTCCTCGAGTGCTTTGGTCCTCGACTCGCACCGTGTAGTTTCACGGCGCTCCTGAAAAATATTGCATGTATTGTTAGCTAAAAAAAATGAATAATATAAGAATTATGTAAAGCACGTGTTGACAGAAAAACTTACATATCCTTCCCAAATGTACATCGCTATATGCGACTTGAACCATCGCATAAACTCTAAATTTTGCGGCCCTCCCTCGCACGGACCCTCCAAGTACGCAGGACCAGGCAGCTGCGGAAAGGGTAAGGCACGACCACCTCTACGATCCTGAAATGCATCTGCTGGCCCATCATCTTCCTCCATCTCCTCGTCAGTATCCATATTATCGTCGTCGGCATGTGGCAATGTACAGGGTCCGGCTCCAGCTGCAACAGCTTCTCGTCTCAGTCTCTCTTCTTCCCGCTGTAGCGCTGCTTCTCGAGCTAACTGTTTTCTTCTACGCGCGGAAGCAAGGACATCTCGGTCTCCAATGCGATCCGGATCTTCCGGATTGTCCCCCTTCCCACTCAAGGCTTTCATTAAGCTCTTGCCTTTACCGGCAACTTGACTCATAAGACTTTTCCCCCGACCTCCTGCCATCTACATTTTAAATAAGCACTTTATTAATATTTCATATAATAAAAAAAAAAAAATTAAATAATGAAAAAA